CTGCCACCCTGTAGAGTTCAGCCCTAATTTAACACACTTGATACAGATAATCAGGCCCTTCAGTTATATCTCAGTATGAGAACCAGCTTAACTTCAACATTGCTGACTCTAATACTGAGGTGATACTGAAGGGCCTAATTATCTGTATCATTGTTAAATTATGGCTCTGCAGGGTGGTAGCCCTGATCTAGATGAATTAAATAAACGGAAAATCCCAGTGTGTATTTCACACTTTGATTATGACAATGCACACAATTATTTGTTAATGTCCATTAATGTTATTTATGTTCATTCAAAGTTATGTTTCAAAAAGATCTCACAGAAGGTGTTATTCATGGCTAAAGTACATAATGTACCTAAAAGCTCTGCTGTCAAGCTGCTTTTTCACTAAGCACCATATCCAACAATTTCCTGAGGTACAGTATAGCACAGGGGTCTCCAACTCAGTTATTTATACTGCCAAGCTCACATTCATTTTAAAATTTTTATTCCATTTTTTCATGTAAGCGATATATGTGCTATACCAGGGGTCTCCAACTCCGGTCCTGGAGAGCTACCGTCCAGTAGATTTTCTATCCTACCTGGCTTCTGATGAGCCACACTAGTTCTCAGGTAAATACCAGGAGGCAAATACGACGTGGTAATTGAGAAGTTTGATTCGCACTGCTCGCTGAAAAAGAATGAGACTTTTGAAAGGTATGTTTTCTGTTCTCGTCTGCAGCAACAGGGGGAGACTTTTGACAGTTTCTTAATGGATTTAAAGACATGCAATTTCGGAAAGTTGCAGGACTCTATGATTCGTGACCAAATTGTGTTTGGCATCACTGATAAAAAAGTAAGGGAGAGGCTCTTGAGAGAGACGGAGCTTACCTTGAATGGTGCTGTGCGTATATTTCATGCCAGTGAAGTAGCACTACAGCATGCTAAAACATTTTATGAAACTGCAAAGACAAGTGGAATTGACAGTTCAGCTGTAGCTGCAGTAACAGGAAAGATGCAGAGATACGTGATGAGTAAAATGAAGCAACAAAAGGAGAAGGAACTGTTTAATTGCCAGAGATGTAGTAGAAGACACCCCCCAAAGCAGTGTCCAGCTTATGGCAAAGTCTGTGCTAAATGTAAAGGGCAGAATCATTGTGCCAAACAGTGCTTTTCCAAAGCCAACCAGGGTCAAAAGGAGCGTGTCCATGCAGTGGAGGAAACAGATCTCAGTGACAAATTTTTTATTGGCCTGGTGGAGCAGGCTGATTCCAGTCAGGAAATAACAGAACAGACTGATGTAAATACTGTTGCGCAGGACAAGTGGATGACAGCTCTGGAAATTANCACACCTGTTCCTGGTATTTACCTGAGAACTAGTGTGGCTCATCAGAAGCCAGGTAGGATAGAAAACCTAGTGGACGGTAGCTCTCCAGGACCGGAGTTGGAGACCCCTGGTATAGCACATATATCGCTTATATGAAAAAATGGAATAAAAATTTTAAAATGAATGTGAGCTTGGCAGTATAAATAACTTCTCAGAAGGTATGTTCCATTGTCATAGGACTTACTGTAGCATCAGGGTAGCTTTTGGTTGCTGTTGGCTGAAGTTCTCAGAATCAGTAACAGATACTAAACCCAAGGATAATAAGTCACAGGGTTTGGTTAAATTCTACACATGCATACTGATGGGCTCCAAGATAGTTTAAGCAGATTTTTACACTTACATCAATCCTAGAAAAACAGGGAATGTAATTGCAAAAAAGCAGCGATCTAAAAACCGCGAAATCTGCGCGGAAAGGGATATTTACCAAGGTAGTTATTGTGGTGATACAATGTATTTGAGTTGCCAGTACTAACCTGACCACTAGGTGTCAGTAGTCACACTCACGGGGATTGTTTTATCAAGAGGAAAAGACTGAAGTTGCGGCTGCTGGAGTTCCGGTCCTGAAAATATAATAAACTCTGTTTTGCTACAAAACGGTTTTCTTAAATTTACTAAGAAACATTACATGGTACCAGGAGTGGTGATGATCACCGACACCCATCGTCATGGAAAGTGTTAAACCGCCTGATGCTGTGAACTGGACAGGGAATATAGATTGCGAATGGAGAACGTTTAAACAGAGATTTACCCTCTACTTGCAGGCAGTGGGCCTTGATGAAGCCTCGGACGCACGTAAGATCGCACTGCTTCTTACCGTCGCGGGACCTCAATCTATAGCGGTGTTCAACACGCTCGTGTTTGAATGGGCTGAAGATAAAGGCAAATACGAAGTGGTAATTGAGAAGTTTGATTTGCACTGCTCCACGAAAAATAATGAGACTTTTGAAAGGTATGTTTTCTGTTCTCGTCTGCAGCAACAGGGGGAGACTTTTGACAGTTTCTTAATGGATTTAAAGTTGAAAGCAAAAACATGCAATTTCGGAAAGTTGCAGGACTCTATGATTCGTGACCAAATTGTGTTTGGCATCACTGATAAAAAAGTAAGGGAGAGGCTCTTGAGAGAGACAGAGCTTACCTTGAATGGTGCTGTGCGTATATGTCATGCCAGTGATGTAGCACTACAGCATGCTAAAACATTTTATGAAACTGCAAAGACAAGTGGAATTGACAGTTCAGCTGTAGCTGCAGTAACAGGAAAGATGCAGAGATGCGTGATGAGTAAAATGAAGCAACAAAAGCAGAAGGAACTGTTTAATTGCCAGAGATGTGGTAGAAGACACCCCCCAAAGCAGTGTCCAGCTTACAGCAAAGTCTGTACTAAATGTAAAGGGCAGAATCATTGTGCTAAACAGTGCTTTTCCAAAGCCAACCAGGGTCAAAAGGAGCGTGTCCATGCAGTGGAGGAAACAGATCTCAGTGACACATTTTTTATTGGCCTGGTGGAGCAGGCTGATTCCAGTAAGGAAATAACAGAACAGACTGATGTAAATACTGTTGCGCTGGACAAGTGGATGACAGCTCTGNAGACTGATGTAAATACTGTTGCGCAGGACAAGTGGATGACAGCTCTGGAAATTAATGGAGTTATCGTGTCACTCAAGCTAGATACAGGAGCAAAAGTCAATCTGATTTCAGAGCCTGATGTCAGAGCAATGAAAATTAAGCCACGAATAAGCCCGAAAACAGTGCGACTCAAAGTCTATAATGGACAGCACATCCCAACAAAAGGAACATGCAGACTACAGGTAAAAATGAGAAACAAAATACATCACCTCAAGTTTGTGGTTGTTCCAGGTGGACATGATTCTGTGTTGGGAGACAAAGCATGTGAAGACCTAGGTCTGGTGAAAAGAGTATATGTCATAAATAGTGGAGAGACAAAGGACACTGTGAAAAATATAGTGGCACAGTTTCCAGACATCTTTGAAGGATTTGGAGTATTACCCTTCACCTACAAAATACAGCTGAAAAAAGATCAGTCAGTATTCCATGCCCCAAGAAGAGTTCCTGCACCTCTTTGTGAGAAACTGAGACAAGAATTGGAGACAGTGACTTCGATGGGAGTCATCGAAAAAGTGGAAGAGCCTACTAACGTTTCTAGGAGACAAGCTGTCAGAAGAGGGTGTAGAACTAGATACAGTAAGAGTAAAGTTCAGGCAATTCTCCAAATGCCCAGACCCAAAGACAGAAAACCTATACTAAGAGTGATGGGGATGATCAATTTCGTTGGAAAGTTTATACCAAACTTGTCTTCAAAAACAGTGCACTTGAGGGAACTGTTATGTGGGAAAAGCGAGTTCAAGTGGACAGCCGATCATGAACATGAATGGGGAAGACTAAAAACTCTCCTCACCTCAGAGCCAGTTCTGACATTCTTTGACCCCTCAAAAAGAACAAAGATATCGACAGATGCATCCAAAGACATGGACACGGACACTGGACATGGGTGCTGTTCTATTGCAGGCAGAAGGAGAAAAATGGCGGCCGGTTGCATATGCCTCAAGAACGATGACTCCCACGGAGTGTCGGTACGCTCAGATAGAAAAAGAATGCTTGGGCTTGGTGTATGGAGTGGAACGATTTCATAGCTATGTGTATGGGTTACCGACATTTGTGGCAGAGACTGATCACAAACCATTAATAGCTATCATCAAAAAGAACCTCAATCAGATGTCTCCAAGAATTCAGCGTTTGATGATGCGACTGCAGAGGTATGACGGAGCTAGTCTACACTCAAGGAAAGTACATTGTTCTGGCAGATGCTCTGTCCAGAGCTGCGATACTGAGTGAAAAACATACTGAAAACTCCACAGACGCTGATGTGATCCAGCATGTGAGTATGGTTGCTGAAACTCTTCCAGTCACAGACGCAAAGCTCAAGCAAATTGTAGTGGAGACTGAGAAAGACAGTTGCTTGCAGCAAGTCATTACGCATCTGAATGATGGCTGGTGTAGAGGAGAATGTGCCCAGTACTACAATATCAGAACAGAGCTGAGTGGTCAAAGGACTTCAGCTGAGACAGAACAGGATCGTTATCCCACAGTCACTGCGTCAAGAGATGTTGAAAAGGCTACATGAGGGCCACCTTGGAGCAGAAAAATGTAAAAGAAGGGCTAGAACTGCAATCTATTGGCCTGGAATAAACGCCGACATTGACAGGATGGTGTCAACCTGTGATACGTATCTGAAGCATCGTGCTAAGCAACAGAAGGAGCCAATGATTGTCAATGACCCACCGGACGCACCATGGCAGAAAGTTGGGACTGACTTATTTTTCCTGGATGGACAAAACTGCTTGCTTGTGATAGAGTATCTGTCAAACTATCCAGAGATTGCGTTGCTTACCAGTGCATCTGCGGGTGTGGTGACACAGATGAAGTCCATCTTTGCGAGACACTGCATCCCACAGGTTGTTTGTAGTGATAATGGGCCATGCTACAGTAGCAAAGACTTTCAGAGATTTGCTGAGGAGTATGGGTTTCAACATGTGACATCGAGCCCATTATATCCGCAGTCGATTGGGAAAGCGGAGAAAGGAGTAGACATTGTGCCTTTACTACTCAAGAAAGCAGGAGACAGTCGATCAGACCCTTATTTAGCTCTGCTGAATTACCGTGCTTCACCATTAGAACATGGTGTGTCTCCTGCGTAAATCCTGAAGGGACGCAGATTACGAACCACACTTTCTTGCTTAGCAACACCAAATAAGAGCAAAAATCTAAAGAGGAAACAACAGCTCCTGAGACAGCAACAAAAGGCAAATTATGACAAGACATCAAAAGGCTTGGAACCACTCTCCAATAATGGCACAGTAAGACTTGGGGATTGCAGTATATGGTCTAGCAGAGCCACAGTCCTAGAGGAGGTGAACCCGAGATCTTACACTGTCAGGACAATAGATGGTCAAATCCTGAGGAGAAATCGGAGGAGTCTGTTGAAAACAAAAGAGACAGTGCTAGTGGATTTGTCTGCAGAGGACACTGACTGTGTAGAATCACCAAAAACCCCTGAAATGCTTCCAGTACTGGATGACAAGGAACCAGCTGAAGCCATGCATTCACCTGTACTGCGAAGATCTAAACGCACAGTAAAGCCCCCTGATAGACTTGACCTGTAAATAGTGTTTAATCATAAAAGAGTCATTCGAGTTTACAAAAAAAAAAAATGCGGTTTGTTGATTGTGACTGCTCAATGTAAATAATTCTGGAGGCTGTCATTTTCTGTATTAAGTCTTACAATTTATACAGTGTTTGTTTAATGGTTATTCAATCGATACGTTTGCATAACTCCTTGGAATAACTTGTTCTTTACATCTAAAGGAAAGGGGATGTGGTGATAGAATGTATTTGAGTTGCCAGTACTAACCTGACCACTAGGTGTCAGTAGTCACACTCACAGGGATTGTTTTATCAAGAGGAAAAGACTGAAGTTGCGGCTGCTGGAAGTGTGGACGTCATTGTTCTCTGTGTCTGTTGGCTTTTCTGTTACCTGTCCTGCTCCTCCTCCACAACACGACCCCCAGTGACAACAGCAATAATAATACAGAGAAAGTACACAGAAAACATTATACATATGGGAGGTTAAATGTCTTAGCAAAAAGAAAGGTTTTTAGCTTGGTTGTAAAATCTAAAACAGAGGTCGATAAACGGATGGCAGTAGGGAGTGAGTTCCAAAGGCGGGGAGCTAAACGGGAGAATGTCGCCATAGCTATGTAATTTGGAAGGGGGGATGAGGAGAGAGCCAGTAGAGGAAGATCTAAGACTGCGGGGAGGCTGGTAGGGTAGAAGCAAATCAGTAAGATATGGGGGACCTTGATTATTAAGAGCTTTAAATGTCAGAAGCAGCAATTTGAAATGAATGCGCTCTTTTATGGGGAGCCAGTGCAGGCTTTGCAGAATGGGTGTGATGTGTTGATAGGAATGAGTGTGAGTAAGGAGGGGGGCAGCGGAGTTCTGAACTATCTGAAGTTTATGAAGAGATTTAGCGGAGATACCAGCGAGTAGTGAGTTGCAATAGTCAAGACGGCTAGAGATAAAGGCATGAATGAGGGACTCGGCAGCAGAGTTTGAAAGGTATGGCCTGATACGGGCGATGTTACGGAGGTGAAAGTAAGCAGTTTTCACTGTGGCATGAAGGTGTGCATCAAATGAGAGGGTTGGGTCAAAGGTGACACCAAGGTTTCGGACCAGAGGAGATGGAGAGATTGGAAGTATGGTCCAATTTGAGGGTTATCGGGCTAATTTTGTGAAGTGTGAATTTTGTCTCAAAGACAATTATCGCTATTAAGTTTTAAACATTTTTGGCTCATCCATAATTTGATTTCAGAGAGGCACGTTTCTATATGTGCAAGTGGAAGGGTGTTTATGGAGCTGGAGCTAACATAGATCTGGGTGTCGTCGGCATAAAAATGAAAATTTAGATTAAAGCGGCAAATGAAAATGATGAAGAGCAGTGGCCCCAGGACAGAGCCCTGGGAATTGCCACGTGTGACAGCTGATATGCTTAATGTCTGACTGGATAAGATGATAAAATTCTTTCTTTCTGTAAGATAGGAAATAAACCAGTTAAGCGCTGCCCCACAAACTCCTAGATTGTGGAGTCTCTGGATAAGAATGGCATGTGAGACTGTATCAAAGGCTGTGCTTAAATCGAGCAAAAGAAGGAGGCTTATGGCACAAGTATCAGTTGCTACTAATAGATCATTTAAAACTTTAACCAAAGTGGTTTCTGTGCTGTAGAATTGGACTATTGTTTTGCAAAAAGGAAAGGAGCTGAGAGTAAACTAAACGTTCCAGTGTTTTAGAAAAGAAAGGAAGATTAGAGATCGGGCGATAGTTTGCAAGGTTAGATGGGTCAAGGCCGGGCTTTTTAAGGATGGGGGTGACGGCCGCTACTTTGAAAGCGGTGGGAACTTGACTGTGGGCTAGGGTTAAATTGAACAGGGTGGTCAGGAGGGGAGCAAGCACAGAGAGGCATTTCTTAGTTAGCATTTGGGGACTGGGATGATGGTGGAACAGCTGCCTGTGCGAGTGAGGCATTGAAGATGTCCGTCAGCACCTCAGAGAGCTGATGTGCACAGCTTTTTAGTACCCGCCCAGGGATGTTATCTGGTCCAGTGGCCTTGCTTGGGTTAATCTTCTGCAGGGCCCTTCAGACCTCCGCTGTGGTCACGCTGGAGGAAGGGATGGTCTTGGGGTCCTTGAAGTGGGCGTAAAAGGTATCAGGCAGGGAAGGATCTCTGGGGCACTGTGCCTCACTAGGTTTGTAGTCAGTGAGGCACTTGATACCCCTCCACATGCTCCGCGGGTCACTGGAGGAAAAGTGACTCTGTGCCTTCCAGGCATATGCAGCCTTTGTCCTCTTTATGGCCACCGTCAGGTCCCTCCTGGTCGCTCTCAGCACATCTGTGTCACCGGACCTGAATGCCACACTACTGGCTTGCAGCAGAGGATGAACCTCTGCGTTCAGCCAGGGTTTCTGATTGTTATAGATGGTGACCTTCTCTGTGGTGGTGACATCATGAACACACTTAGAGACTGAGGACAGTCAGGGTATATTCCTCCAGGTACACCTCTCATTCACTTTCAGCTGCATGTTTGAAGACCTGCCAATCTGTGCACTGGAAGTAGTCTTGCAGCATGGAGTCAGCTTCACACGGCCACACAGTCACAGTTCTCTGTAAGGGTTTCCTATGCTTGACCAGGGGATGATAGGCTGGAACCATCATGATGGAAATATGGTCGGAAAGGCCGAGATGGGGGCGGGAGATGGATCTGTATGCACCTCGTTTGTTTGTGTAAACACAGTCCAAGATGTTATTTCCCCGTGTCGGTATGGTGACATGTTGGTAAAAGTTCGGCAGAGTAACTGTCAAATCTACATGGTTGAGGTCGCCCGCTACCACATAGAATGCCCCTGGATGCTTGTTTTAGAGCGAGCTGATGATGTCATGAAGCTTGCTCAAAGCCTCATTAGCGTTAGCGTCCGGCGGGATGTAAGCCACCGTGACGAATACGGCAGCGAGCTCGCAAGGTAAGTAATTGCTGCAAAATTATGCTTCTCTCAGACCTTTTCTCCACATACATTAACTTAGAATAACAGAAGTATTTCCTACATAAATTAATCACTATACATAATTTGGCAAACCCCATTTGGTAACGATTTACATTAACTGCACCCTCATAGTGCATTCATAAGGCATCAATAAGCCATTCGTAAGCTGCATTTAACTATACATTAAAGACTCCTAAAGTATCTATAGCACCCTCATAGTGCATTCATAAGGCATCCATAAGCCATTAACTGCACCCTCATAGTGCATTCATAAGGCATCAATAAGCCATTCGTAAGCCGCATTTAACTATACATTAAAGACTCCTAAAGTATCTATAGCACCCTCATAACTGCACCCTCATAGTGCATTCATAAGGCATCAATAAGCCATTCATAAGCCGCATTTAACTATACATTAAAGACTCCTAAAGTATCTATAGCACCCTCATAGTGCATTCATAAGGCATCCATAAGCCATTAACTGCACCCTCATAGT